TTAGAGATTCTAATTTTTTTTAAAAAATTGTAAGGAAATCACAATAGAATTCCATGGTAATTATGCAAATCAAATGCAATTCACAACAAAATCCAAATATGCAATTCACAACAAAATCCATCCTCCCCCAACTAAATATTGCATTGTTCTTAATGTATAAACATGAATACCAAAGAGAAGAATGGAAAGATGTCACCTGAACATGAAAGTGAATCAACAAAAGTTGAGGTATAATAAGCTTGAAGCGCTCAATGGAAATTCGTGATGCAAAAAAAGAAAATAAACTAAAATAAAAACGCAAAACACCTAAAAAGAAAAAGGGCTAATCTAAGAACTAATATACAGAGCGAGGTGAAAAACATACCTGAAGGGTGTCATGGGTAGTAAAATGGGTGTGCAAGGGCAATTTCTTCTACTGCAAGCACATGTTGCCCATAGACTATTTTGAGTTTCTGTCCATTCACTTTGAATACTGAACCATCACTAGGATCCTTTATTTCAACAACCCCATTTTCAAAAACTCTTGTCACCACGAAGGGGCTAGTCCACCTAGAACGGAGTTTTCCCGGGTGCTTGTGGAGCCTAGAATCATACAAATACACTCTCTGGTTTGATTCAAAAGTTTTTCTCAAAATATGTTTATTGTGGAAAGCTTTCATTTTCGACTTATAGATTCTAGAACTTTCATAGGCATCATTTCTCAACTCCACCAATTCACTCAATTGAAATTTCCTATGTTTACCTCTCACTTCCAGATCAAAGTTGAAATGTTTAATAGCTCAAAAGCCTTGGTGCTCAAGTTCAATAGGTAAGTGACACGGCTTTCCAAATATTAGTCTGTATGGGGACATGCCTAGAGAAGTCTTAAAAGCTGTACGGTAAGTCCAAAGTGCATCATTTAATCTTAAGGACCAATCCTTACTATTAGGGTTCACCATTTTCTGCAAAATTTGTTTAATCTCCTATTCGCCAACTCTACATGTCCACTCGTTTGGGGGTGATAAGCAGTAGAAATTTTGTGAATAACC